CCTCCCTGCACCCCATGTCCCCTCCCTGGCTCCCAGACAGGCTCCAGGTGACTCCCCACTTCCTGCCATATAAAATTCCTGGTCCTTGCAGCTCCTTTGAGCTCCCACCTCTGATATCAAGGACCCTCCATCCCCCCCCCAATCCCCTGGCCTGAGATTTCCATTCAGTAAGCAATTTCCAGCCAGGAGATCAAATGAATCCCACAGAAAATTGCCCGACTGTAATGAATCCTGCAAAGGGAGATAAAAGGGGAGGCCGGGGCTGCAGGGGCTGGGGCTGTGTCCCCCTCCTGCCTGTCCTTGCTCAGTGCCCAGGGGGGATAACGGGAGGGTGGAGAGGGGAGCGGGGCTGGAGCGATTCCCGACATCCAGAGCGGAGCTAATCCCACAACGGTAGGGGCTGGGGGGCTCTGTGCCACCCCCCCCTCCACACCTCCCCAAAAGGCTTATTCCCAGCTCCTTAGTTCCACTGGGAGATTGTAAGAACATCTTGGAGAGCACCTGAGTTAAAGAAATGACACAAAAAGCTGCCTGGTGGCAGCTGTGGGGCTGAGGGCCAGGGTGGGACAGGCTCTGCTCCCCTTGGGATTGCGGCTGGAACATTGCTGGGATGTCACTGGGACATTGCTGGGATGTTGCTGGGATGTCACTGGGACATTGTCTTCCACTGGCTGCTCCTGCCCAAGCTGCACATCCCTCAAACCCGGGGCACAGTTGCTTCCAGCCCAGCCTCGTTGCCCACCCTCGGAGCTTCACTCTCTGGACGAGCCCCAAAACCTTGATGCAAAGAAATGAAGCCAAGAGAAATCCAGCACATCCAAAACCAGGGATAACAGCCAGAGTGGGGATCACCCACCCAGAGCAGCCCAGGTGATACCAGCCGTGGATGGGAAGAGGCTCCTCTCTGATGTGTTATCAGAAACACAACAGAAAATCCAATTTCTGCCCTCCCTCCCCCTCCCCTCTGCAGGCAGCGGCTCCTGGAGCCGTGGAGGAGGATCCAGCCACTTTGAATATTTAAATCCCCGAGGTTTCCGTAGGGTTCTGCTCATCCCAAGTTCAAGTGATTGTTGAAGAGGAGCTGCTCCGTTCCATTATTGACGCCGGAGCCGTCTCCGCTCTCGCTATCGTGCGGCACCGACCTCGACAGCGGCTGATAATAGGATTGTAAACTTTTGAAGTTAATGGGAAAATTATAGTGCTCCGTGTATTATTCTAATGCAATAAGCTGCCACACGGTGCCTCTCACCCCGCGGGGGCTCACGGCTTGTCACCCAGCCTGGGAAGGGAATGATTAAAGCCCCATGAAATTCGTGGTGTCACAAAAAGTCTTAAGAAGCACGAAATTCTTGGGTTTCCATTTAAAAAAAAAAAGGCAGAATTGCATTTTGAGGTGGCTGTTTTGGGAGAGGATCGTTACCTTCCAGAGGGGCTGTGGAGGCACAGAAGGGACAAAAATACTGGTTGGTGCCTCTTCTGCTGCAGAAGAGTCCAAGGGACAGTTCAGTCCCAGAGCCCTGATCCCAGAGTGGATCCCGTGGGGCTCTGTCTGTGCCTCCCACATCCTGGCCCAGGGAGATGAGCAGGATCCATCCTGTGGGATGAGGGCAGGGCTGGGAAGGGGCACCGAGGCCCCGCACGGCGACGGAGCTGCGACACCAAACCACTCTGAGGGAGCCCCTCCTCTGGCAAATGAGCTTGGAGACATGAAGAGGATAAAGGCACCGGCTCTTCCCGTTCCAGATTTATCTTCAGTCCATGTGGAGTGAGCAGGGGCTGCTGCAAACACTCAAAACCATTTGCTTTTAAACAAACTCCGAGGCAAGGAGGGAAACGTGCTGGTT